TTGACATCTCAAGATTAAATACAAAATAAAATCTTTATGACCTCTAACTTTTGAGAATTCCCAGAAGGTTCTGGAAAATCTCTAAGGATTTGTTTTCTCAGCTTGTAAAAACAGCTGTTTAAAACTAATTAGGTTTGTGTTAAATTACATTTGTATTTTTTTATTTTTAAAAGATTTATTTACTTATGCATACAAGAACTGGGGTACAGGCCAGAGATGCAGGTGTGGGGAGTAAGAGGATTCATCAGAGACAGAGTGGGGAGTGAACAGGCAGATGTATTGAAATATACTGCGGAGGGGAGCAGTGGGTGGGTCAGGAGAAGTCTGCTGCGCCATGTAGGTCAGCTCCCTGGCCAGGGATTGAACTCATGTTCAGTGGCTGGGAGAGCTTCACAATGCTGTGCTTTAACCTGTTGTGCCACCAGGGAAGGCCCAAATTACATTTGTATTTAAAGAAACTCTTTTCTCTATATATTCCATCTTTATAGCAATTTAGTAATATCTTTGAAAAACAAAAGTAAAATACTTTTCTTTTTGTCTGATACCTGAAATTTGGAAAACACTTATGGATTATTATTTTCATGGCAATAGTTATTAGAATATGTTCAGTAAGAATTTTTTCTTTTAGTAACAGGACACAGAAACAGTCATTTTACTAAGGTGTTGATAAGAATGTCGTATTTAAGAATGATGCACATATTATCTATCAGGTATGGCTAGTTTTAAGGAACTAAGGATAACTAAGGAGCCAATAGTTCCAGAGTCCTCTAGGAAAACTGGCCAAGCACCTGGGCATGTAGGCTTTCTAGTATTATCAGTAAGGGATGTCAACTTAGGGTATTTTCAAGAAATTCATCCAAATCTGTAGATACTGCAAGTGAAGTCTGATGGTGAGTTTTGGACATGGCTTCCTAGTCTCAAGGTTTTTAAGTCTGATCTGAGGTTCTTCATTTAAGTTTTAGTAAAACAAAGTTTAAAACTATGTTGTCATTTACTAGCCATGCTGTGCTTGTGTGTATAGTCAGGCCAAGTTTGATGCATTGTAACTTGTTTTACAAAGATTCTTTATCTCTGCTAAAACTGGGTATGATTATAGAAAGAAATATTAAGTTTCTGCTAAATAAAAATGAAAGATGAACAAGGAGCCATCCCAAGTCTGGTAACAACCAAGGTGGGAGGTTATTGGGGATCAGGTCTTGGGCACAGGCAGGTACCCAGGCATTTTGGGGTCTGTGAAGATGCTCCATAGCACAGAAGACACAAAACTATCATATCTCCCATCTATTCTTTAGGGCTCATATATCTTTCAAAAAAGTCATGTGTTTCCGTAAGTACTCTTTCTCCCCACTTTCTTCCCCTATTAAGATGGTAACAAGTCACAAATTCTGTCTTGAGTATAAATTTTTTCTTTGAACTCCTGTGTACACACTTGAATAAAAATTTGCCCTTTCTCTTGCTAATCTCTATTTTTTAGTTTAATTCACAGGTCCCAAAATACTAAATTTAAGAAAGTAGAGAAAAAAATATCCTCCCTATTAGGAGAAATTGTTAAATCCTGTGGCATGCTCACATAAACCTCATTAGTGTTGGCAATGTTTCCATATCTACAGGTAGATAGTAAGTATTTTCCCCTTATTTTAAAAGGATTTTTAAAGGACATGAAAGCTTGAAAAACATCATTGAAGGAGCCCTCCCCTGTGGTGCAATGGGCTAGGGTACAGCACTGTAAGCTGGCTGCAGCAGCTTCAGTGCCAGTTTAACCCCCGGTCTGGAAGTGACCACATGGCGTGGCAGACCTCTCCTGACCCGCCCGCTGCTCCCCTCAGCAGTGTACTTCGTCGATCTGCCTGTTCTGCTCCCCACTCTGTCTCTGGTGAATCCTCTCGCTGCCTCTGTACTTCTTGCCTGTACCCCAGTTCTATATGCATAAACAAATGAATAAATCTTTAAAAAAGAATTCAGCATTAAAGACTACCATCTGGATGGGTCCCAACAGTTTTTTGTTTTAATTTTACAGCCCCTTCTACAAGGAGGCTTAACTACTTTCCACCAAATTGTAGTCACTATTTCCAAGTGGTTACAGCATAGTTAATAAGCTGTAATTTTACACACTGATAAAACAAGACAACGTGATCGAACTCATTATATTATGGCACTGACATGATGTGAAATGTAAGACAGAGGTAGATCTGCAGTAGCCGCATTATTGCAAATTTTCTCTTTAAAACATCAGTTTTATATATATGTTCAACCAGTAGCACATCAAAAACCACAAGTTTAAGACTTTGTCATGTAAATGTGGAATTGAGAGCCAAAACCATCAGACTTAGTAATGAAAACATTCTTTTTTTTTCAAGAGCAAAGTAATAGGTAACCCACATGACTCATAACAAAGCCTTAAATTGTCAGAAATTTTTAGGAGTATTAGCTAAAGTCCTGAAGGTGTTGACATTCAGACAGAACTTTTATAGGCATTTAAAGATTTCCATGCATTGCATACCTCAAGTTTTTGATCTCTTTATTTCTTTAATGCACACTTCCTCTCCTTGGTATGAGAAAAGTACTTCTTTCTATAGGGAAAGCCCAGATAAATATTCCTGGGAATTTTCATTATGGTTAAATCATAATAGATCTAATTCTGCTAAATAATAAATAGATCTAATTCTGCTAAACCCAATGCCACTATTTGGGGTTCTCATTTATAGGTTTTTCAAAAATGAATGTTTCTCCTAGAAATCATCAATTTATATATCACAAGGATAAGAGAGATCACTTAAGGCAATGGTAATGTTTCAAGAAAGTAACAAGGTTTAGCGACGGACAGGTAGAGTGGCAGATGAGTTTAACACAACCATCTTCCTAAGTTTTTTTTGTTTTTAAAGCAGAATAGGTTTCAATCTTCTGGGGGTATAACGGCAGCACAGTAAGAATATTAAATATGCAAGTAAATTACTTCTTTTACATCTTCATAAAGTATTACTGCTATTGGGGTTACAAGTGAACAACTTCCACACCAGGTGAGATGCAAATAAACCATTTTAAAAGACCAAGAAACAGGGTTCCTGTAAACTTAGTCCACAGTTTTCCAAGAGACAGGAGAGGAGAGCCATAATATCCAACCATGTAATGCTCACCCAGAATCCTAGAAGAAAATAGTCACTGAAATAAAACAACAATAACAACATTTTGAATGTTAGCAGTATTTTGATAACACCCAGATAATACTCAATATGGCACAGATGTAAAATTCTGAGGGGAGCTAGTTATGCTGCTAAAAGAGCCAGGAGTGAGGCACAAAGTAACTTGAAGAGCTGGAATTAGTCTCTGCTTTCTGCACAATATTCACAAGTGTTTTAGGTTGAGCTTTTATGCCTTCCCCACCACAGAAACAAGGGTCTGTGAAGAATCGGTCACAGTGTTAAAAGTCACCTAGTGATGCAGATGCTTTTCCAAGCAGGTGCTGCACAACTTCTGCAGTAAGAGGTTGCAGGTGGTAGCCGCTGCATCTCTTGTTCAATAAAAATGCTCTAAAGGGCATCAGTGTTAAGTTGTGCTTTCTTTACCCTAAATGTGACTTTATCATTGCAGAATCCGAGTCTTACAATATTTAGCAGCGAGGTCATGAAGGGTGTGTCTGTAGATACTTTATGCAGAAGTGCATCTTCAGTGCAAAGTACAGAAAGATAATGGTGTAAAACAAAAGGACTCATTAACAACATGTGAAGAGGCTGATAGCCTAGAGAGCTGCACATGAAATGTGGCCAGAATTCAGACTTTTCTGGCAAAAGAAAAAACAGTCTTATGGGGTGAAGTTTTTTAGTTTTATGCTAAAGTTTTTTAGTTTTAAACTTTCCTAAGGCACAACCAAATTGTTTTAGATGTATGTTTGGCCAAGTGTTTTTCTTACTATAAAAATAAGTGACAGTATCTGCCAATGGCATGTTAAGGAAAATAGTACTTGGACTAAAACTAAGGCCAGTAAGTGAAGAAAAACACCATTTTGTATTGGCTTTAAATTTGTATCAAGGCTACTTAATGAATACTGGGAAAATGATTTAAGTGTTTTATATTTTTGCATAAGAAAAACATGATTTTCTTTTGAGGTGTAGCTCACAATTTAATCTAGGGTTAATGTTTAGATGTGGTAAAAACAACTGGATTTTATAATAATACCTAAGTAGGAAAAAGTCATAAAAATGCTAAACATAGTGACGTATGAGCAGGTCAAATTAGGATTTTACTGGCGTCAGGTATTATGCTTGTGAAAAGTGATTCCACTGTCATATATTCAAATCCAAATTAGAACTAGCTGCCTTATACAAAATTTTTGCTGCCATTTCTTAAGCACTTAATTTTGGGGAGTTCTGTTACAAGTTCAAGTAAGTTAGAGCTATTCTCAACTCTTCCATCTATTTTCTTTCAAAAACGAAGGAGAAGGTATTCTAGTACACTTTTTATAAATTTGATCATTATAGCTCTAGTTAACTCAGCACATTTCCCTGAGCATAACCATTCGTGGTCTCTCTGAAAACTAGAAAATACTGCATCTTTTAAAAAGTCAGTAAAACCACCTTTAATTTATAATTAAATTATACTAATAGGATGGAATATGGGTAGGTTAGACCACCAATCATATTTGCTAGTCATAAAAAGTGACAAATTAAAGATCTGCAGAGATCAAGAGACAGAGTAATCACCTTTAACTGGCTGGAGGTGTGACATTGTACAGGGGTCCTTGTGGGCCTTCAGAGAGGCTACCAGGTGACCTGCCGACTCTGACCGCCTACGGTTACACTCAGACACCCCAAGGCCCACTGCAAATCCTGGATGTAGCAGGTATAGACCAAGTGGCTCTCTGGATTCTGGCTATCACACTCCTACTGGTACAGAAGCAGACAGTGAAAAAACAACTAGAATCCCATAGATAGCACTTTTTCGTCTGGGAAACCATCTAGGAGGTTAGTGAGACAAAAATGTAAATCAACACTGACACAGAAAAGTGTGGCTCACAGCTGGCCATCTGGATATGCGGTTTTGCCAGTTCTTAGCAGCTTTCACATTTAATCAAATATTAACAATAGTATAATTCACATGCAATCCTTGTCAACAAGAGAAAATGGTTAATTTCTGATGACCTGCATAATTGTTAACTCGTTAAGAAAAGCCCAATTTTTCCAATATTTGAGTATATACATACACATATGTCTGTTTCTTTTGAATCATCTTAGGGTGAAGGTGAAGAGGACAAATGAGATAAACACACACGCTAAACCCCCAACAAGCTGCACTCCTCATTCTGTGTGGTTGGCAGCATCAGTCAGAAGCACGACTCGTTTGCTCTGGTGACCATAATATATTTGAATGTGTAGATCTTCAAGGATTTCCTCATTCATTTGGCCAGGTCTATGGTAGGTGCTCTTTTTCTCTTGTTGCAATAATTCATTAGTGTTTCCTGAGTGGCTCAAACAGAATCACTGGCCAGATTCCAAAGAGAAACTGTTTCGAAACAAGTTAAGACAAAATAAGTGAAGATAAAATTAGTTCATGCCACTGCTGAGAAAGAATGAAAAGAAACCCATGTGCTATGACTGCAGTCCTTGGCGTTTCTGCTAGTGAATACCCAGACTTGCACTAGATTTCAGAAACCCTTTTTTATTTATTTAAATATATTAAACATTTGCTTTGTTAAGCATGGAGCTGGGCATTTATAACTCCAGGTCCTTAAAACAACTCTTCATTGTAGCCGTTAATAGCTCCATTTTACTGTTGAAGAAACTAAGGCTTAGGGAGACTTGTCCAAGGTCATAGCATAGAAGTGGAAGACTTCTGAGGATTCAAGAGCATTCAGTTCCAAAATCTGTACTCTATTATCTCTCCACACCATCTTTTCTTCAACCTTCCTCCTTTCCTCCCAATACATCCTGCCCAAATATACACACAGATGCACACACATACATCATACAAAGTAGACTTACCTTCACTTTTGGTCTGTATCTCAGGTAAAGTGTTCTTGTGTACAAACTGAAAGAAAGGCAAAGGCGGAAGATGGATCAGACCAGCTTTTAATTCATTGAAATTGGCTTACTGACAAATTTAACCTCTGTGTATACATTCTTTGTTCATTTAGCAAGTTTTTTTTTAACATTTATTCTTTGTAAACCACTTGGCAAGATACTAGGAAAAACAGAGAAATGATCAGTTCTCAGACTGTTACTTCAGGATGTTTACAGTTTAGTGGGGAACATTCTACTTATGCTTGGTATGACTCATAGCATGACAGCCAGTTTCATCTTTGAATACACAAGGTAGTAAGCATTAAGGTACAGATTTTCTTCTATTTATGATGGGGCTGTCTGGATAAACTCACTGCAAGTTGAAAATGCATTAACTTACCTAATTTCATAACACAGCTTCCCTCTCCTCCTCTCCCTACTCTACCTGTCTTGTCTCCTCTCTCCCTTCTCCTCCTTTCTTTTCTCCTCTACTTTTCTTATGGAACTCCAATCACATATATGAGACTCCCTTACTTTATCTTCCATTTTCCCTAACTTTTCTTTTTTTTTTTTTAAAGATTTATTTATTTATTCATAAAGAACTGGGGTACAGGCCAGAGATGCAGAGGGTGAGAGGATTCACCAGAGACACAGTGAGGTGCAGAACAGGCAGATCAAGGAAGTACACTGCTGAGGGGAGCAGTGGGCGGGTCAGGAGAGGTCTGCCATGCCATGTGGATCTCCTCCCAGGCAGGCAGGAATTGAACTCATGCGGAAGTGGCTCTAGTTTCTTAGTGCTGTGCTTTAACCCACTGCGCCACCAGGGAGGGCCTCTCTCTCTCTTTTTTAATCTCTGTTGCATTTAAATAATTTCTTTATGGGCCTCCCTGGTGGCTCAAGGGGTTAAGTCTCAGCACTATCAAGCTATCTCCAGCTATTGTAGCATGAATTCAATTTCCAGCCAGAGAGGTGACCCACATGGTGCAGCAGACCTCTCCTGTCTTGCCTGCTGTTTTCCTCAGCAGTGTATTTCAGTGGACCTGCCTGTTCTGCTCCCCACTCTGTCACTGGTGAACCTGCACAACGCAATTCTTTCTTAATTAAGTCTAATCTTTATTAATCCTGTATAGTAAATTTTGTATTCTGGCTATTATATCTTTCATTTCTAAATGAAATGGTTCTATTTGGTGTTTTTTCAAACTTGGTTGAAAAATATTCTTTTCCCTTGAAGTTATTTTCAGGTTTGACTTATTTATTTAAGCATTCAATAACTTCATAATCTGATAACTCTAGGATCTGATTATCTTTGTAGGTCTCTTTCTGCTGAGTTCTTGGTCATGGTGTCTTATTTCCTTGCATTCTTGGTTATTTTTGACTGCACTGCTTACTCCTCTTAAAAATTACTTTTGAGGATTCTTTGAAAGCTGATGAAGACGTCCTCAGAAAGTTTTGATACTTGCTTTTACCAGGTACTTTGGAGATACCACAGGTTTAGGACAACCCCTCACTGAGTTCACACCAGGAGGTTTCCCCACTTCACTCAGGTAGGTAGGCCGCAAGTCTGTGTGAGGGAGATCTTCACTTACGGTCATGTCTTCTGGGAAACATTCCTCTCTCCCAATTTCAGTTGGGGATGGAGTATAGAGTGACTTTCTTTGTGCTTCATCCAGTTAATTCTGAAGAGGTCTTCCAGTAGGTTCTCTCCAATGCCCCCTCCTCCCACAGTCTCCCTCCTTCTTTAGTCCAAATTGCAGCCCTTCCCTCCCCACCAAAATCTCTTTGAAACTAAATATACTGCTACCACTGACCCACTTTCCTCATTCCATATTCTCTTTCTCTGGAGATTGAATATTACACTCTCTGCTCCTTGAAGAGTTTCCTTGCTTCCTTGCTCACTTCCCTGCTTCCTCAAAGAGTTTCCAGACAAAAGAGAAAGAAAAAGAAAAAGGAAGATGGAAAGAGGGAAGAGGGAAGTGAGAAGCTCTAGCCTTTTCAAATATAGTGACTATTTTCTTTTTTGATTATTTATAGAAATCCACTACTGTATTGGAAATTAATGTACTGTATTGTACTGCAATGTAGTAATGACCTTAGGATTTCTTAGGCAGTGTTAAGGTGCAAAGTGTCAGCTCCTGGGTTCTCCTTATATTTCTTCCTCTTTTCTATCATTTGTCAATTTCCCCAAGCTCTTTGTCTAATCTTTTTTCCCCCTTTAGATATAACTAATGTCATGACTGAGAATACAAATAATCAATGCAGGAAGGAATGCAAAAAAAAGTAAAATAAATACAGTTAAAAAGGTTAAAGAATTCTTTTGTGATTAATTATCCTGAATATGAATGCAATGCTTCTTTTCTTACTCCTCTATCCCTCAACGTGTAGCTTAAACTTTTTGTTAGAAAAGTAGAACTAAGAATTAGATACTAAACACCATTTGTTCTCATTTCTTCCTCATTCCCCTGATGTGATATATTTTCTAACTGCTTTCCAGGAAGCCTTGAGAACTGATTGTAAGAAGTCTCTAACAAAATTCTCTGTGCCCTCTGAGGTTGATAACACTTGGGCAAACATCCACTAGTATTTATCAGTTATTAACCCCGAAAGGAATTCACTGTACTAAAGAAGATAAAAATTTTAACTCACAAAGTCTATATAACCCTGTGCTCCTTGACCTGGGGCTGTAATCTACCACTCATAATCCTCACATATCCCAACCTCACCCATCTCTATAATCAGCATTTGGGAACCTGACATTTGGGGACCTGGTTTCTTTTAGAGTATCAGCCTGGCAGACTCCCTTGGTGGTTGCCTTGCATATAATAAATTCTTGTGAAAAGACTTATTTTGTGTTTCAGAGCTTGGCTTTCTGGATGGTGACTAAAGACCTGATTTGGTCATATATAGTCTTACAATAAATACTTAAGAGGAGGTGAAATTATGCTTGTTATAGTCTATATTCTCTAGATAGGTTTTCTAAAAATTTCACTTGAGTAAATTTTCCCATTTGTTTAAAGGAAAAAAATTTTCCCCCTTTCTCTACATGTTTCAGCTTTCTCAATTCTTAAGAATAATTTAAGATTAAATATTGCCTGACCTCCTGGTTAAGAGATTAACAGGTACAACTTCATTCATTAAGTCATTTAACAATATTTACTGAGTAGTTGCTATGTGACAGGCATTTCTTTTTGATGAAATAATGAATCTTTATTAACATTAGTGGATCAAATACCTTAGTTTAAAAAAAATTTTATAATAGTTTATTTTTACATATTTTTGTGCATTTTTCCATCTCAGTTGCAATCCCTTTGGGCTTCCCATCACCCAATCACCCATGTGCCATCATTATAGTCCAGTGCATTTCCCTCCAACTGTTTCTGATCCCATTCCCCACTCCACCCCATAAAATGTCTCTGGTATATAGATGTTCATTATTATTATTTTCTTGTCTGGTCTGTTATACTCCTGTTATGAGTGAAACCATCTGATATTTTTCCTTTTCTTTCATGACAGACATTGTTTTAAGTATTTGGGATAGTAGTGGAAGAGATGAAGTTCTTGTCTCAAGGAACTTGTCTAACTAGGAGGTAAGCAAGTAAATATAGAACTGATTATAAGTAGTTTGAAGAAAAATAAGTAAGCCCTGGCTAGGGGGGAAAAGAGTGATGTGGAAGGTATTTGAATAGGATGATGTTTGTTTTATTTTTCTGGTGTGAGGTGGCTGACGGAGGAGACATGTGGTAGAGGCCCTGATGGGGCACATAACCATTGAGGTCATTTATTTTCTGGACAAGGGGAAAAGGTCTTCAGGTGGAAGTATTTGTATAAGCAGTCTGGCAGGAGGGAAGGGTACTGAAAAAGTCCAAAGAAGCCTGGAGAATCTGAGAATAGCTCCTATTCATGTTTCTTAATAGGCAGAGAGGAACTTAACCTGTCATCACAGCGGCTGACACCTCAACAACTGTCAGAAGGAACACAGAATGAACAGAGAGAGGAGTTCTGATTCCATTTTTGCTATAAGTGGCTGACCTCCAAAAGAATCTATTAGTGGAGCAAGGGAAGAAAAGTGACAGTCATTTTATTTCAGGTAAAGAGCCAAATTAAGCTGGGGACTTCAGAGAGTGATACCTTCTCCTACTCAGGGGATCTGGCAGCTTTCCCCTACCCGCACCCTTCCAAATTTGTTCTTTAAAAAGGTATCCTGGCCCTCCCTGGTGGCGCAGTGGGTTAAAGCACTGCACTAAGAGGCGTAAGCCACTTTTGCATGGGTTCGATCCCCGCCTGCCCCGGAGGAGATCCACATGGCATGGCAGACCTCTCCTGGACTGCCCGCTGCTCCCCTTAGCAGTATACTTCATCGATCTGCCTGTTCTGCTCCCCACTCTGTCCTGGTGAATCCTCTCACCCTCCGCATCTCTGGCCTGTACCCCAGTTCTGTATGAATAAATAAATAAATCTAAAAAAAAAAAGGTATTCTGATCAATAAAAATGAAAATGTTCATATTCCATTTGCACTAAAAAAGGAGATGAATGATCTCCTTAAAATGTAGATCAAGTATTAGAAGTCAGGTAGTATAACTGTATCACATTAAAGATGAGAAAACAAAGTTTCAGAAAGGGAAAAGGACTTGTTTCAGGTTATTACCCAGAGGCAGAAGGCAAAACTGAAATATAAGTTCTTGATTACATCTCTGATATTTTATATTTATACCATCCTATTTGAAGAGTAAAACAAAACCTCCAACAGGCTAGTTAAGTCTCTATTGCCTACCTGAAAAGTATGTGAAGATAAGAACCAAGGCCAGTTAAAATATGCCACCATGCATGAAATTGTGTGGTAACACCTATGATAGGTGGCACCTTCTTTCGAAAGTTCCTATGTGATGAGAGGGAAAAATCACCATGTTAATTTTTTTTTACCTATTTAGCAATAAAATCATAAGTATTTTGAAACATTATTCTCAAAACACTTTAATATTCGTTAAGTTTGCCATATTGCTTACCAAAGTACATTTCAAAGAATAGTATTCTTAGCATTAAGTTCCATGAAGAAATGTCTCTGTTTCCAAAATAAATGTAGGGAATGGTTTACTATTTGAAAAATAATACAATTTGAAAAATAGTTTACAATTTGAAAAATTGTAATTAACATATTAAAAGCTTTGAAGAGTCCTAACATAAATTAAAAGTGTTATTTTTTTTTCAGGTGACCTACTGATCCCAGGAATCCTTTAGGTACTATCTTATTAACAAAGGTACTGACTTTCACAGCATTTTGGGGAAAACTGGTCAACTCAGCTGTACACTCAAGAAAACTAGATACACTGTGCTTTTCCTGTGCCCTACACACAAGGATTATCTTTGAAAAATACTACATAGTATAAAGTCCTTTGGTATCTATTATTTCACTTCAGAGTAAATCTTTGAGGTAGGTTTTATCAACTTTGCCAGATTAGGAACCTAAAATTCTGAGACACTGAGTAGCCCAAATCACTTAGTTGTGTCTCAAATTTTAGATCTTTTGATTAAGTGTACAGCATATTAATATTCTTACTTATTAGAGGGGGTAAATCAATATGAACCACCACATGATTTTTATTATTTCCCTAGCTACTATTTTGAGTAGCTATTGTGAGCTCTATTATTATGCTTAGAACTTACTTTCTTAGACAGCAGTGTAATAAAAGTATCAGTGGGGGTTCTGAAGAGTCTTAAGGATTTATAATCATTCACTTAGCTCTAAGCAAGGTGTATTACTTGACAAATACATTTAATGTCTACATTTATCTATCTAAGCTTTTATTCTTGAAAACTTCAAATGAGAAGAGAAAATAATAATGTATACATAATGCTGCTTCAAAAATTATAATGGAGGCTACTCTTGTATCATCTATATTCTTTTACGTTTCTCCACTCTCATATTATTTTGAACTCTACATGTTCTAGTAAAATATCTCTAAAAGACTGAAACCTTGTAAAAACAACCATGCCACTTCCAAACCTAAACTATTACTAATCATTTAATACATCTAATATTTAATTACTGATCAAGTTCCATTCACCTCAGAAACTTGTTTTTTACAGTTGTTTTGTTTGAAATAGGATAAAAATCAGTGAACATACTGAGTTTGATTGATATGTCTCAACTCTTTTATAGCCATTATAGTCTTCTTCCTCTTCCCTCCTCTTACAGTCCTCACATTTGTTTTTGAAGAGGACCAGGTCATTCATATTATGTGTAGATTTGCCACATTCTGATTTTTGCTGATTGCCTCTCTCTGCTTTTCCAATATATTTCTTTGTTCTCTGTTTCCTCAAAACTGTTAGGTCATGAAATTTTGGGTGGAAAGAATTACCTAGTTTAACCTATTTAACTTATTCATTCTATGGAAATAGAAGCCCAGGAAGACAGTGTCTTAGTAACAGATTAGAGTTCAGAAAACTAAATCTAGATTCAAACTCCAGTCAACACATAACTGTTGACAAGACTGTAAAGGGAAATATTTAAAACACTTAGAAAATAACATTAAGCCTTTTAAAGTTTAAAATTATATATAAGTATTTTATATGCTTATTACAAATCATTCTTAATCTAGTAAAGCAGATTAAGCAGACTTCAAAGTCAATGCTTGATTAACACTGTATACTTCTGACACATACATATACCCATACAGATGTTATAAAATGTTCTTAGTCCAACTTTTTAGGTAACTCAAGGAAATATTCCCAGAATTTGTGTTGTGCATATCTTAATTTCAACCACAGCAAAAATTCATTTCAGAGCACTAATAATTCTACATGCTTATGAAATTCTGTGCTTAATACATTGCTTCCAAAAATATTTTTCAATTGAAAATATATCTTACCTCAGTGAATCACAAAAGATGTTATCTATGTTCCAAAATAAAAATCCTAATAAAAATATACCTAAGGATGTGTAACCTAATCCTCTAAGCCAAGGATAAACCCTGTGGGGAAAAACAAAATAAAATTTTGTCAACTCACATCATAATCAGAGCCTGGAGTCACTGATTTCATGAGAAGAAAAGGTTTTCCTTAGAATTAAAAGCAAAATGGAAAAAAAAAAAACTATCCATTAAATGTTGTCTACTACATTGGATGCTAACTGAATGTGCACTAATATTTTACTAAATGTATCATGATGGTAATATGAAATTTCACAATAACTATTAGTCTTATGGAAGAGGGAGGGTGGGGGTGGAAGAGAATTAACATCGACTGAATCACCCTGCTCTGTGACAGGCACTGTAGTGAATCCTCCCCACCCCATATATGTTTACACACACACACACACACACACACACACACACACACACACAATACAATATGTCATACAATTTGATAAAAATCTTCCAATAAACCCTGATGAAGAAAGTGAAGCTTGGGTGAGCTATCCAAAATAATAACACCATTTTATGTTTTTACAATTTCATGAGGTACAACTGAGTTATATTAAACTACATATATTTGAAGTGTACATACGATCAATACCATAATCATGACAATAAATCCATCACCTCCAAAGCTTAGCACTTTTCAGATTATATGAATGGAGTGATATAGTATATATCTTTACTGTATGGCTTTGATTTGGCATAGTTACCCTGAAATTCATCCATGTTGTTTTATTGTGAGTACTCTATTGTATGGACACTCAGAGTATGTTTTGTGGCTACCTGTTCTATGGCAGTGTACTTGTGAGGATCTGGAGGAGGTGAGTCTGGTGCCTGCACTTGGCTGCCACCTTGCCACACCTCCTCTCTACCGGATAGACAGACCACAATTTGTTTATCTGCCCAAATGTTGGTGGGCATTTGTGTTGTTTCCAGTTTTTGGTTACTATCAATAAAGTAGCTATAAATATTCATAAGTAAGTGTGGGCATATTCTTTCATTTCTTTTGGTTAAGAAGTTAAGAGAGGAACGGTTGGAATGTGTGGCCCTGAATGTTAAACCTTTTAAGATACTGCTAAACTATTCTGCTAAGTACTGTATTATTTTATACTCCCACCAGCAGCATATAAGTATTTATTCTATATCCTTACCTACACTTGGCAGGACATCAGTAATTTTCATTTTAACTGTTCTAGTTTAGGTATATAGTGGTATCTCACTGTACTCTTAAATTTATGTTTCCCTAATGATTAATGTTATTGCACATCTTTTCATTGCTTGTCATCCACATCTTATTTGACAAAGTATATGCTAAATCTCTACTCATTAAAAAACCTGCTGGTGGTCTTATTGTTGAGTTTTAAGTCATTTATGTATTCTGAATATAAATCTTTTGTTGGACTTTTATTTTATGAATATTTCTCAAAATCTGACTTGCTGTTTATATATATATATTTTAAATTGAGGTATCATTGGTTTATAATATGTATATGATTTAGGGGTACAGGTTCATACATCTTCTGATTTATGATACCACACCAAATACCAATGCACCCATAATCCTTCCTAACAGCACAGTGGACTCCCTTCTCTCTTTGCTAGGGAACCCCCAATTCTATAGTCAAATTTCTAGGGTTTACTTTAGTTTAGTTTAGTCTGCTCCTTTGCTTTATTTCTCTGTCTCTGTGTATTCATTTGTATATTCCACATACAAATGAAATCTATCCAGTATTTGCCTTTCTCCTTCTGATTTACTTTGCTTAGCACAATTCCCTCCAGTTTCATACATGTTGCTATAAATGGTAAGATTTCAGCCTCTCAGGTTTTACAGCTGAGTCCATTGTGGAAATAATGCCATTTCTTCTTAATCCACTCATTTGTTGTTGTGCAGTTAAACTGTTCCATAACTTGGCTACTGTAAATATGCTACAATGAACATAGCATATAGCATATAGTCCTTCAAATTAGTGTTTCTGTATTCTCTGGATTAACACTAAGGAGTGGGGTTGCTGGATCAAATGGTAGATCCATATTTGGGGAGTACACAACAGAATGGATAATAATTCTAGAATTATAGGTAGGAAAGGTTAGAACAATTCAAGATACTTCTGCTTTCTTCTAGATTTTAAATGTTGAGTATATTCATAAAATTCCTTTTTTTAACCAAGAAATTGAATAGCAACAAATTTCTGTATCTTTAATAGCAGACACATTCATTTTTCCCAATTGTCAGGTTTATCATTCAAGGCATTAGGAAGATCTTCCCCAAAATATTGTTTATTTACTGAGTAGCTACTGTTCAACTAGGTCCTGTTTATTTAATCTTTATAAACTCTGTAAAGATTGTGTGTATTTCCCAAATGATCTTTCTGGAACAATGATTCTTTGTGGCATTAATAGTTATCCTTGTGAAGTATATGTTAAAGGGGTTTCCTAGTCAAGTGAGAAACAAAACAATTTTAACTATAGGATTTTTCACGGCCTTTAATATAATGGCATTAACCTTATAAATAATCAAAAGAACACCACTGTATGTAACTTTTCCTCAAAATTTACTTGGAACTCTTGTTTTCACTGATGTGTATTAACAAGTTGCTTAAGGTAACTTATAACCTGTCATAATAAATGTTGACTTACAGTTTTCTATCAATATCCCTGCTAGAGTTGGCTTTTATGTGTTATTTCAATTCAGACTACAGATTTACCACTTAAAAGTACTCTAATCATAGTCTTGATGATCTAAACTACTTACCATGTAACAATATAAATAGATCGAAGTACTAATGTGAAGACCAACATTCCATACATAACCTGAACAAGAAAGGAAAAATGAAGTCAGCATAATTATGATGACTATGGCAAAGTAGTTTTGTCTACAAACTATTTTTGTCTACAAAAAGTCTTAAATGCAAACATTTATTATCTTCTATTTATATTTTAAAGAACAGAAATTTTTAAAATGTATAATTATGGAATTAAGAGTCATGCTTGCCCTTGAGGAAAATTTAAGAGCCTGCTTGTGAATAACCAGTATCAGTAGTTCTCTGTCACTTATACTTTTGTTTTTTAAAAAAGATTTATTTATGCATACAGTATAGGCCAGAGGTGTGTGTGTGAGAGGACTCACCAGAGACAGAGTGGGGAGCAGAACAGGAAGATCTACTGAAATACACTGCTGGGGGAAATAGCAGGTGAGGCCTGATGTGCCATGTGGGTCAGCTCCCCAGCAGGCTGGAGATCAAACTCTTGCTGAAGTGGCTGGCAATAATAGCTTGATAGTGCTGTGTTTAATCCCTGCACCACCAGGGAGGCTCCACTTTTAATTGTAAATGGTTACCTATAACTTTAAATACCTGCTTTAACCTGAAAGAATGACGTAATTTTGTCTTATACTACCCATATCCTTACCTTCTCTTCAGCTACATGTTCAAAGCATGGTTCTATTTGCCATTTTGTAACAATATAAACCTAAACTCTCCTAAATGTTTCAGTCTTCATAGGAATATGCTCCCTGCATTCTTTCTCCAATTCCCAGTCTCCAGAGAAGTGCTGACTTTCCCATGACTAATGTTAATCCATTACCCTGTGATTTTTATTCTACTTTTTCTAGACTTGGCTCCATCAACTAACCTTTCTCTTCTATCTGAGCACTGAGAGGTATTATTTCTAAAAAATATGAAATATAAAACCTAAGAATGCATAGTATAGAACCCTCCTTGTTGGTGCAGCAGGTTAAAGTGCAGCACTTAAAGCCTGGCTGCTTCGGTGCCAGTTTGATCCCCACCCCGAAGGTGACCCACATGGCACAGCAGACCTCTCATGTCTTGTCTGCTGCTCCCCTCAGCAGTGTACTTCGTCAATCTGCCTGTTCTGCTCCCCACACTAGCTATGGCAAATCTTCTAACTGCCTCTGCACCTCTGGCCTGTACCCCAGTTCTGTATGCATAAATGAATCAATCTTAAAAAAAAAAAAGCACAGTATATAAATGCACAGTTTGACAAAAATTTATGAAAGCAATAGCTGGGAAAGTATATTCAAGAAATAAATCCTTGTTAACAACCCAGAAGTGTTGCAAACCAAAATAAAACTAAGTTTTATTTTGCAAATGTCTCTTCCCAGCTCAACTATCTCCATTTCTCCTTAGAGGAAACACTTTCCTGACTTTTTCAAAAAATATTTTTCTTTCTTTACATAGTCAGTAACTTAAATGAATCTCTCAAAAACTCACTCCTGAAACAGTAATTAAAAAAATAATTTATTGTAAATAATATTGTATATATTTTGTTTTTGTTTTATTTTTTAGGATTTAATTATGTAGTATATCTAGTGAAAATTCTAGTGACTAAAAATACAATTTATTTCCCACTGTTGCACTAATGCACATTTTTTAGTTATTTTCAGCCATTACTTGTACATGCTTGTTCACATTTATACAAGTTTTTCGAGGGTATGTAACTAAAAATGCAATTGCTGGGTTGGAGAATATATATATGTATATCAAATTTATCAAGAGAATTGAATTGTTTTCCATAGTGGTTATACTAATTATCCTCCAGTCAATATATATGACTACTTTTCTATAACATGTTTTCACTTTCTTTATGGTGTCTATGGTGAAACAAATTCTTAAATGATTACTGCTGTGTGACTTATAATGATGGAATAGCTATTCATTTATTTAGATCATCCCTAATATCTTTATATGTGATATAACCTCTTCTATATGTAAACTTTAGATGTTTATTTTAAATTTATTGCTGGCTGTTTATAATAAATTTTATTCAGTTTATCATAAGTGGTATTACAAAAATTTCATTTTGTTTACTGCTGTAAGATATAAATAAGATCAACCATGTCTGAATACTGTTTTTTTCTATTAAAGATTTATTTATTTATTTATACATACAGAACTGGGGTACAGGCCAGAGGTGGAGGGGTGTGTGTGTGTGTGTGTGTGTGTGTGTGAGGATTCACCAGAGTGGGGAGCAGAACAAGCAGACTGAAATACACTGTTGAGGGGAGCAGCGGGCAGGTCAGGAGAGGTCTGGGTGGGTGTGCCATGTGGGTGTGCTTCCTGGCTAGAATCAAACTCTTGCTGCAGAGCCTTAAATAGCTTACACAGTGCTGTGTTTTAACCTGTTGTGCCACCAGGGAGGGCCTTGAATATAGTTTTTATATCATGTGAATTTACTTTTAAAAATCTTTTCTAATTCTAATAATCTATAGTTTATTTTTAGTTTTTTGTTATTTAATAAAAATACAAGTGAGTAACTTCACTTTTATTTATTTGCTTTTCAATAAGATATAAGATCAACCATGTCTGAATATTGTTTTGTTTTGTTTTGTTTTTTATTAACATGTCTCATTCCTTCTGCCTGAGACCATGGATTAAGCCAAAAACATGGAGAGGAGATCCAAATAACTGACCAGTTCATTTTCTACCAAATACTTATTGAACAAGTGAGTGACAGTCATTGGACTAGGTATTTATCATTCAAAGATAAAAAGATACACTATCCTGACCTCAATGAATTCAGTTTAGTGGAGCAGAGACATATACAGTAAGATATCTAGCATTTAAACCTGATTTTTAAATTTCATTCTCCTCTGAAAGGTAACAGGCTGGGTTCCATGGAGAAATGGATGACTCTAAGCCTAAGGTTTGGATGAGCCTGGAATATCTTCTTGTGCCAAAAGGAATACTCAAAGATTGATGGGAGCATATCAAAAGAACACAAAGAACTAGCTCTATTGGTTAAATCTGAGATAATTTGTACACCAAAATAAGTGACAAATCATCATCTTTTGGGAAAAAAAAGTAATATATGAATTCATAGATGAAAATAAATATATCGCAAGTTTAACAACTGAGTATTTTATTAAGTCTCAAAGTACATTACTACAAAGTTCTTAATTATGGAGTTACTTCACAGTGAAGAAGACTTATAGACACTATCCTAAGCAATCATTCTCCAAAATGCTCCAATATGTTGACAACATACTCCACAGAGATTTCCACATTGGCTAGGAAAATTTATTTGTATTGCAAATATGAAGTTTGATATTCTTTAAAAATAAAAATATTTGAAAATAAACAATTCCACACTAACCCACTAGAAAAGTTATTAGCTTCATATTCAAATCCTCACAGACAGCTCAAGTAGAGCTCTCATTCTAAGAGAACGTGACTTTGCTCACCTATGGTCAAAGTGGGACAGGTAGGGATTTGTGGATAAAGCCCCAGCGAGTAGGAAATTATTTTGGAATAGGTAATGGATTTAAGCATTGGAGTTTGCAATGGACTTACTCATTATATTAATGATAGTCAATTGCCCAAACAGAGCGAAGAAACTAACAGAAAAAGCCATGAGCTACAGTTGGGAGAATATACATTCTTCTACCATTCAACTATTGTCTTATTGTATAGCCTCAAACAAGTCACTTCATTTACCTTAGTCTTGGATTTCCAATTGTAAAATGAAGGGACTATATTAGGTGACTTATTTCATATTTCTGTAATTATAATCAAAGACGGATATAAGAGGCATTTTATTTTGGAAGTCAGTAAAAGTTACCCTCATATCAGGCTAAAAGGTTCTATAATTAGAACATAGTTATGCTGATATACTCTTAAACTAAATGCAGACTACTTTAAAACAATTTCACATCTCATAGGTGATGTGATCTATTGGTAAAGACATAGTTTTTGTAGATATTCAGAACTGGTTTAAAATCCAAATTCTATCCGACTACAAACCTTCTAATGCATCCCACATAATACTGTCAGAATTCCCTAACAGGGACTGGTGGTGCAATGGATTAAAGTGCAGCATTTTGAGCAGCTGCTTCAGCACAGATTCAATCCCCTGCCAGGGAGGCGACCCACATGGTGCAGCAGACCTCTCCTGTCTCCCCTGCTGCTCCCTTCAGCAGTGTACTTGGTCTATCTGCCTGTTCTGCTTCCCACTCTGTCTTTGGTAAACCCTCTCACTGCCCCTGCACCTCTGGCCTGTACCCCAGCTCTGTATGCATAAATAAATAAATCTTTTTAAAAACAATCCCTAATAGCATGCTTCTGTCAAAGACCTAAGATCCAGACTTTAACAAGACATCCAGTTCTTCACAATTTGGCTCCATCTTCCTTGCTATTTTAATGCTTTACAGTATATTATATTTTAGCACAGGATTTCCTGCATATTGAATGGTACTGCTTTGTTGGGAGAAATATTTCTATGGTTAAATAAACCTTGCTCAAATATTTCCTGTGTGAAGCCTTCCTAAAATCTTCCTTTAGAAATTCATCTTTTTATTACCCAAGCACTTCACTTTATTTAGCTTTGGGCATTCTTTAAAGTTGATAACTGAATTCTGGTTTGTTTAAGTAAAATAGTGCTAGACCTAAATTTTACATTATTTACTTTTCACATTTTTTAATAATTTAATCAATGTATTAAAATCTGAATAGCAGCTTTTATGCTTAAAAAAAAAACAACA